AAAGTTTTGATGGCTAAACTGAGGGTGCATATCGGAGTGCAGTGATCAAGTGATGAAGTAGTACACATTTCACAGCTACTCGTCATTTCCTATTTCTTTATAGTATTAACTAGTAGTGACAACAAAATTGATGTTGTTGATGATTGAAACAAAAATTTCATTACGGTAGAAGAACTTGCACTATTTTGAGCCACACTTCCCTTCCATACTTTCTGTTCACCAACTGTCTAAAGCTTTCGTGTATCCATCCGAACTGAAACACGTACTTTAAGAGTAAACCTTATTTTGAAAAATGATTGGAAAGACAAAGGGAGTAATTCCGCCAAAAAAATGCTCTTGGTTGCAATTGAAAGTATGCTATGAGCCTAGAAACATGCACAGACAACAAAGGGAGGACATTCATAGAACATTAATCCAATCAGCAATTGATATTTTAAAACACGTTTTGACTCACCATAGCAAATAACTCAAAACGATTAGAAGTCACTGCCGTATACGATGGAGTCTCTTTGCGAGGTATGAATTCTTTAGCAAATCATCGCGTGCACGCCTCAGCAGCAAATGAGATAGCCACTTGCGAGCGCGTGATGTCTTACAGGTACTACTCCCAGCTATGAGCCTTCTGCAAATTTCTACTAGCCAAATGAGGAAATTGCTAGCGATCAAGCAGTGTGAAGGCGATATTCAAATCAAATCTTACTTTCACTTTCTGAAGTCCTTCTGTGTGTGTGTAACGAAGAGTGGCGGAGCTGGTGTAGTGACAAGTGGCGCACTATCACACACGCATGGTCACGGGCTTGAATCCAAGATCGATATCCGCTCAAACCAACCAAGTCTCCTATTTCTCCAGGCTGAGAAAATTGGTGCCAGACTCTTTTGTCAATATAAAACACTGACTTGAACATCGACCGGCAGTCGCGGCCACTGTATGGGTCACACACGCCATGCGCATTCATTACGCCACAACGATTCTGAATGGAAATCGGATGCGGGATCGTACCCCTCAGGCTCTATCCTATTGAAAAATTTCGCAGTTTAGTGTGATCATAGTCGGTTAAATTAGTAAAGGGCAACTAAACCACTGCTTGTCTTGGCCCAACCCTCTCCTCTTCGAGTTCACTGCACCCGCGCTTACAGGAAAGGTCTTTCAAGGCGTGGGACTTAAAAAAGGTTCCTTGCATGATGTAGGGGTATGAGTACTGAGTACAGGACCATGGTCCATTCCCGCTAAATGGCCTACTGAATGCCAGAGAAGAAGTAAAAATGATTTTGTCAGCAATTGCCGTTCTATCCCACTAAGTATCGTTTATTTCATTCATGGCGTCGACTATCCGCACAGTAGAGGGCGCCAGTGGACTGCGCATTGAAAATAATGTGAACGGTAGCCAAAAAAGGGAGCCACATATTGAAAAACACGGGGAAGTTTCATATGTGCTCTCCACGGTTGAGCTGCTGGCAGCGACGGATGGTGTACTGGAGAGCGACGTGGACTTCGAGTTGAATGAATAGGGTTCATTCATCTCGAAG